TATTTAAATATTTATTGTGAAGATTTATATGTTATTAAATCTTAAGCCTAGCATGAGATTATCCCTTTAGTTGAAAGATGACACCATTCTTGTTATCCATGTGTAGAGACTTAGAATTGGTTTTAATCAAATCATCATTGCCATGCCACCTTGCATGCTACTAAAAAGTGGTGTTGTGATATCATTGGCCAAAGGTGGATGACTCACATTATTCACTCATCTTTCTATCTTATCTTTTGGTGGTGGTGTTGTGATATCATTGGCCAAAGGGGGATGAGTCACATTATTCCATTACATTTCTATCTTATTTTTTTGGTGGATTAAAATATTGTATATATAAATATTATTTAGGTGCATGCATATCCTCTCCTATAAGTATCATGCTTCCTTACTTCAATCATTCATTCCAATCCTTTAAGATAGATTTCTACCATGAAGTAGTGTTAGAGAGAGAGAGAGAGAGAGATAAGGAAGAAAAAGAAACAAGATGAAGAGCGTGTGTGTTTGTCCTGCAATATTTCACTTATCATGGTGAGTGGGTTATGTAATATGTTCTAAAAGTTCTTATTTTGTGATAAATGTTAAAATCGTGGGTTTATTCTATTTACAAACCTCTCTCTATTTTCAAGTCAAGCATGTCTAATTTATGCAATATTTCACACAATATATATTATTTGGAGTTTTTGTGAAGTATGTATTATTCATGGAACATGAGAACTTCAGTGACGGGGTATCCGAAGGATAAATGTACCAGACGGGGACATAGGGCAGTGAGGCCAATAGAGGTCACGTACTGGGTACAATTTGTAAGATATGAAGTAATGATGTGATATGATTTGTATTGTGTATCTTTTTATTATATTTTTCTAGAGTGTGTAAAATGACATTGTTTGACTGACATATTACATAATCTACTCACTGAGCGGTGGTTTGCTCATCCCTCACCTATTTTGGCTTTCAGATTAATTAGTGGGCAAGACAAAGCCGAAATAAGAGAAGTTGGATTAGTTTAGAGTGATAAACTTTTATTTATATCTTGTACCCCTGTAAGATTATCATAATAATTTTTTTTTTATAAATATAATGGTAATGTATTTTAACCAATATTTCAGTCTTTTTTATTTATTTATTTCAATTCACGCACCCTGATTCGGGAATATTCTCTATTCTCGGATCGGGGCATGACAAAATGGTATTAGAGCATAGGGATTAGATACCCTTGGGGAAGAAATGTGATATAGTGTCAGTAAATTTCGAGGACGAAATTTTTTTTAAGGAGGGTAGATTGTGAGAACCTGTAAATATACATATAATAATTATTTATTAATATGAATTTTTCTTACTTAAATATTTATTGTGAAGATTTATATGTTATTAAATCTTAAACCTAGTATAAGATTATCCCTTTAGTTGAAAGATGATGTGAGGGAGCTTATTGCTCTGGTTTTTTCGGGATCCACATATATGCTGCTTTGGTGTACCTGGAACCCCAAGAACTTGCCAGATGAAACACCGAACACGCACTTTTTTGGGTTCATCTTCAATCCGTACAGTTGACACCTTTCCAGCACCCTCCTTAGAACTTCTCGATGGCTTTATCTGGTTTTTGATTTTTCTACAAGATCATCCACATAGTCCTCCACTTCTTTCCCTATCATATCATGGAACACGGCCGTCATAGCCCGTTGGTAAGTAGCACCAACGTTTTTAAGACTGAACGGAATGACGGTGTAGTAGAAATTCCCATATGGTGTTTGAAAGGCCTTATTTGATTGTAGCCACTTAATCCATCCATGAAGGACAGTAAGCCTAGCTTGGAGGTTGAATCGATCAAAATATCCATGTTAGGCAGTGGGAATTCATCCTTTGGGCAAGCTCTGTTGAGGTTTCAGTAGTCAACGCATACCCTTATCAAGCCAGTCTTTTTGTTATTTTTATTTTTTAACAGGGACTATGTTTGCTAGCCAAGTTGGATGCTTGATTGGATTGATGAATGCGGTGGCTAGAAGCTTCTCAATTTCCACCTTGATCTACATTTCAACTTCAGGATGCAAGTTCCACCTTGGCTGCACAACAAGTTTGGTATCATGCTCAACATTCAAAGTGTGACATACTAAGTTTGGATCCAAATAAGGCATCTCCTCGTAGCTCCAAGCGAACATATCTCTGAACTCTTTTAACAGACAAACCAAACCCTCCTTCTCTTTGGCTGTTAAGTGTGTACTGATGGAAATGGGCCTTTGAACAGAGGGATCATCACTTAAGTCGACTGTTTCTAGCTGCTCAGCTACTGCATCAAACCATCTTGCATATGCCTAGGTGCCGGCATTGGCTCCTGGAAGTATAATTTAAGGGAGCTGTGTGATTTGGACTTGCGTGGTTGTCAGCTTGCATAGACAATTGTTATAAGCGATATACCGTATGTTCGTTAGGTAGCGTGACTTTTGAGCACTGAGGCTGAGCGTAAGCACAGTTGTTGACTTCCGAGTGTCTCTTCCTTTCTTGCTCGACAATTGTTATGAGCTCTTCATTGCTAAGATCATGAATTTCAGT